TTTTTCCTCTGCATGTGCCTTCTGTCCCCTCAGGCCTTTTTCATGCAGGGTAGGTGTTTTAAGATTATTGCAGTTACCAGATATGGAAGTGGACCCCTTACAGCAGTCTGGCAAAATCATAGCCACTGCTTGTTTCCATCAGTACGTCGTTCTGACATTGGCTCTTGGTGTTTCATGCCCATTGAAGACTTGACAAGAGACCATGGATATGGAGTCTAGGCTCACAAACTTTTCAGCTTCTGAATTTTACATAGTGGCTATCTCATGCATGAAAGGTTGAAGATAGAACTATGCAGAATACAACTGTAGTAGCTTAATACCTTTTAGAAAATTTTTATTCTGTACTGGTCTGAGCAGCTAGTGTAATTACAGTAACTGCAGACATATAATGATAGGCTGAGGTTCTAGAAACAGGTTTACTGACAAAAATAAAATCGTTTATCAGTGTTTGTCATTCATCAAAGTATTTGTCACTGTGCTTTGTTGAAGCGGTGGAAAATTCTGAAGAATGTATAATACTTCATAATTCAGTAGACTAAGGAAAGGTAAAGATTAATTTAGGATTTCTGTTCTCATAATAATATACTCAAGATAACAGCCTGTCATTTTTAATTAATATCTCCCTTAAAAGCTTAATTATTTGACTTACATATTTAATAAATTATATTCTTTGATATTTCTGTAATTAAATTCCTCTGGGGAGTACTGTCACTTGCTATAATAACTACTTTGATACATATTGTGAAACAACCACAGTTAAGTTTTTTTTCTTAACCAACTTTGACAGGTTATCAGAAAAGACACATGGTCTGCAGTTGAGAAGGAAGCTGTTGGTAAATCTACTGAAAGGATTCTTAAAGACTCTCCTGTCACTGTTAATACTTTCCCATAAGTAACAGCACAAATTATGTTACAATATTATTGTTATTATTATGTTACAGTATTCTATTATTATCTAACACAAATTAAGTACAATAAGAACAAGGAGTAATTTGTGAGGGTTCTTTTATCAGTGTTTTCCACTGCTAGTGTACAGCTTAGTTTTCTGTATATAGTTTTCTTTTCATGAAATACTGGTTTAACTCTTACAAATTCATTTCACAGGAAAGAAAAATTTTTTGTGTTTTTTTGTTTGCTTTTGGGGTTTTGGTTTGGGGTGGTTTTTGTTTTTTTTTGAAGGGGATGACAGGATAAGGAGTGGCTTTGCAAATATGTATGCAGTGAGGAGGAAGATTTTGTGCTTAAGGAAAAGTACAGCTACAGTAGAGTTTAGAACTACCCTGACTGTTTTGGGGTTGCATAACAGTACCTCATTTTAGCAGTGATGTTAGCATATATTAAAATCATACTGTAGATTTCAGATTAAAAAGAAAAACCTCTTTAAAGCATTGCTTTTTTTATAAAGGGATTTTTTTTCTTTGCAGAGATATCAGGAAGTAAAATATTCGGAATGATGTGCTGTGCACAATACTTGCATTACACTAAAGGTTCAATGTGCTTCACAAAATGTGCTACACTTACTGAGGTAGCCTGAATTTCCTTGGAGATAACGTGAGGAATCTGTTATGCCATGCAAGAACTGCCTGCAAAAGCCTGCTTTCTGTGATGACTGGCTCAGACAGTCGCTAGGCTGTCTTTTTAGATGCAAAAAAAATGGTCTATTTTTCACAGATGCTTCTGTTCTTGTATTTTGGGCAGTATGGCTTGATACAGGAGAAGAGTGTGGTACTCTGCTTTTGACTGATACATTGTTTTCAGGCAGTTGGGGTTTGTGTGCAAGAAAGACTGGCAAAAATTTTTTACTCAAGTTGAATCTGTAGTCTTTTCGATCTGTTCCCAACAACTGATTGTATCTTCCACATTTATATACATATCCATTTGTGGGTAGGGAGAGAGGGAGAAGAATGCCTGAGTTGTAGAAATGGCCAGAACATTATGTGGCAACTTCCACTTCTGTAGGTCTAAAAATATGTTGTGATGGAGTATATTATTCTAATCTTATGGTGGCATAAAGATAGGTTTCTGACAGAAAAATCTGCATTTTTCAGAAATAAATATATGCTGTCCTTGGCCAAGTGTTAAATAAGGAAGTTTTGCTTCACCACCAAGAAGACTGGCCTTTTTCCATCCTCCAAAACAAATTTGAATCCCTTTAATCCTCAGTCCAATTTTCAACAGAGCCAGTGAGGCCAACAGATGTAGCCTGTATGTTGACATGCTAGTATGTAATCGCTAGTCCTTCAGATGGTCAGAGCTTCACAGAATTTTAGTTTTTTGAGAGGCGTAACATTTCCAGTGTTGCTTAAACCTACATAGTTTAAGGTGAATCCTTAATCAGTGAAGAGTGAGAAGCTCAGTACATGGACTTTAATGTTGGAAATGTTATTCTGTAAATTGCTATAATAAATGCAGTTATCTGAAATTAATCACTTCGGACAAATAATAACTGAATTTCTGAAAGTTGAAAGACATACTTTTCTATTAAGAAAATAAAGAAATAGCCAATGATTATATTTGCAAATAGAGTAACATTTATCACATTCAAGGTGAAATGTCAATTTTTCATTATAGGAGGATCAGCATGACAAATTCCTTTTGGATTTAACTTGTCATCAGTTGTTCTGTGAAACATAAAAGTTCTATGAATATTTTTGGGTTATATAGAAATCATACAAGATTTTTTTTTTTCTGATTGTAGAAGACTGGTGAAAGCACACTTTGAAGGGTATGGTTAAGAGCCCCATTTTATATGTGCCTCTATTTAACAGTTTTTGAAGTCGCTTCAACCTCTTGCCGTAGAGTTTGTGAACATTTTGTGAAGTTATTTGTTCAATTCTAACTTTCTCCTGGCATGGAACCATTTCATTGCTTGTTAACTTGTGGCAAAATCAATCTCATTGGCACTGAGGAGACAGTAAATGGAATATGGCTGCATATTCAGTAAGAGTATTGAGTATTGAGGAGTTGGACAATTAGTGTTGTCCTTTTGCTATAGCAATCAAAGTTGTGGCCCCAACTTAATATTTTTGCTTACCTTTAAATGATACAAAATAGATTGGTTTTTAGAATGAAAGTATCGGACAACTGTAATTGACAATATTAACTCACAGATCAAGACAGACAGGCCCACGACTCTGCTCCTGAATATTATTTCTGGCTGCTAGGCCACGTTTTTAGATCCAGCTGGTCAGGCTAACAGCTACTTCTGGCATGTGGAGTCCTGGCACAAAAAGAAGCTGTAGTATTGCAGAATGCTGAGGGGTTTATGTTTTCATGCTGCATCTCTTTCCCCTTCCTCACAGCATGCTTGTAGTGGGAGAGCTGTATTACTGAGAAGTAAGGGTGCTTACTGGGTGGGTGTGCCGAGGAAGTGCGTGTACAGAAGTATGTGATTTAGCTTCCAATAAAATATTTGTGTCAAGGACACGGGAAACTCAAGTCATTAACCTGTGGTGTTTGCAGATTACTGTGCTTTTTAAAAATGTTACAACCTCTAAGTTCAGTTAGTTGGAAGAGCATTTTAAATCTTGTATATGGACCTTTTTCTGTGAAGCATCAGTGAAAAAGGTTAGTGTAACCTTTTGGTTTAAATATTCAGGCACAAGAAATCAAGTTAGAAAAATATAAGATTTGCTTGAGCAAACTGCATTTCCTAAATGGAAGGAAATTAGTGATAGAAAAAGTACGCTTTTGACCCAGGTAGTATTACTACAGAAGACAATTTCCAAAACCTGTAATACAAAATAACGTTTTTTAGCCATTACCATTTTTTTCATTGTTGCTGTTAGCATTTGCTGAAATGGTGTGTATACAGCATCTAATGCATAGGATCTAAAGCTGTACTTTGCACAAATAATTATTGACGGACTTCTGAAGTGATGCATGGATTTGGCAAGAAGAGAGTGCAACTAGGAAGAAACAAGAACAAAGCAATCTGTAAAGCTAAGGATTAGAGCTGACAGAACAAATTTCCATTGAATAATTATTATATCTTATCACTCAAACATTTCTGAAACCCCAAGTTTGATAGTCCCAAGTAGTTTGGCAATTTCTTTCAGCATTGGACCATGTCAGGTTAAAATGGTTTAGAGTTTACAGTTTCCAGACTCCAATTTCAAGTTAGTGTTTCTGTTGTATAGAAGAATCACGTACTTTAGAAGCTTTAGTTCTACAGACATTATTTCATTATCAAGTTTGAAGAAAAACTGGCCGGAACCAAGAAGACAGAAATAACAATGTTTTCAAATAATAATATTTGTGCTGGAGCTATGGTCAAAGAAGACTTCTCTGCTGGTACAAACAGTCATTAGTGTTTGGGTTCTGTTCAGGTACTTCCTTCTAACAGAACAGAAAATTATAAGATAGAAAATTAAAATGCAGTTTAAGGAAAATAATAGCCCCAAATTTAAACTGCTTTTAAAATTACTTTTATAGTTGGTTAGGATTGGTTTTAGGTTGCTCTTTAGAGGATACTTTAACATGTAAACTTACATTTCTTAGGCTTTTTCTGCTTTTGTTTTCTCACTTGAAGTCTGCTTAATCTGCTTAATCTAACTTATAAAAATCCTTTGTTCTTGTAATTAGATATATTTCAAAGGGAGATTTATAACATGAAATATTATAGATAGATAATAGATAATATATCTAAATGATAACAATATATCTAAAGGATAGATTATAACATAGGAGAATTTTATTTTAAGTTTAAAATGACAGTAATCTTGAGGATATACATTCAATATGATAATTTTCAAAGGTGGCTGTGTGATTTTTATTTGAATGGATAACAGTTTTAGAATACCTTAGTTTCTATTATTTGTTTAAGTTTTTACATTGTCTTCTTTCTTTTGTCATGCACTAGCTTTGCTACTTTTCTCTACCTGTAACTTGTCTTATTTCTTCCTGTTTGCCTGTTTCATTCTACCTTTTGACAATGTAGACCTCGAAGTGTAGGATATCTAAAAGACTTTAATTCCTTTTTTGGTCACTTTCTCTTTCAGGATAACATTTTGTCATCTGCCTTTCCAAAGTAAATGGCTATATGTGGGCACTGAAAGAGGAAACATTCACATTGTCAATGTGGAATCATTTACACTCTCAGGCTATGTCATCATGTGGAATAAAGCCATTGAACTGTGAGTTTAATCAAGTATTGTCTGTGGAGGGGAGGGAACAGAAGTGTCCTAGATGTTATTCACATCAGTTGCAGAAATGTCATTGTTACCTAGAGTGGCCTCCGTATTACTTTCACTACACCAAACACACAATCAAAGTACATAAATAATCACGTAAAAAGTCCTAGTATGTAAATAGCCATTTTTTATACTCATAAATGTGAAGTGTTAATGTTAATATATATTCCTGCCTATAGCACTGTTTTATCATAGTGCCAGGAATAGACATAAAAATAAATAAAATAGACAATATAAAAATAGACATAAAAATCATATGTGATTATAAAGAACTAGAAATATGTTGAAACATGATGTGGCTGGTACTTGGGCAGGCATGTTATTTCCACAGTTTTGGGGTTAAAGCCCAAAGTATAAAAAGATGCATTGTAAGAGGGCTGATGCATGCTAAGTATAAAAGTAGTGGCTGAAAATGTAAATTTAAATAAGCCTGTTCCAAGAGCAAAGTATATCTTACAGCTATTTTCATTGTTCCTCCTTCTTTAATAATAAATTTGTGTATGCAAGTAATGTTTTGTGGGTGAAAACATAGCTGTGTGCTGCTATTCCAGTGCTGTTATTTTGTTCTGGAATGTTATGTCTATCTTCAAGACATACATGAAGTCCAGCATTTCCCAGAGGCTGTTGAAACAAACACAGCTCTTCATTAGTCCATCTTCTTCAATAGCAAGAAGTCAGCATAAAGTCTTAACTCTGTGTTGTTTTAACAACATGTAGTTTGGGCTGTTTATAAATAATGGAAAGACCTGTCTTGCAGCATAAAAATAAACATTTTATCCAAATGTGTCAGTTCTGTAACAACAAACATTAAGGTAAATATTGTAAAGCTAATGGCAATTTTTTTTGTGTGTTGTGAATAAGCTGTAAATAAGTCTTTCCTTCTTACTAAAACACAGAAACCAAGTGCCTAAAAATAGACAGAAAGTGTTTGTGGACTTGAAAAGTGACTCCATGCTGAAATGTCAATCAGTTACTCACATGGACTCTATATCTGCAGAATCTGTACTGCAATAATTTTGAGATGCAGTTTTGAACAGGGGAATTTTTTAATTAAATGGAAATATTTCTTGTTTAGGTCGTCCAAATCTCACCCAGGGCCAATTGTCCACATTAGTGACAATCCAATGGATGAAGGAAAGGTAGGATATGTTTAAAGACTATTCAATATGTTCATTTTCAAGCAAGACATTTTTTTAAGTATAGATACCACTGCTTTTTAAGGAAGGATTAAGTAGATGAGGACAATGTTGAAAGCATAAACAAAGACTAAATCAAGGATTTATTTAGGATGCATTACTGGAACAACTGAATGCATCTTGTAGTCAAAACATTTGAGAACAGAGCTGTAAGTGCTTAATTGCAAGAATTTTTGAAAACAAAAAGTAAACAACTTTACTTATGGTGGTAAAAACTAAGGGTATTACCAGAAGAGCCCAATCATAACCTGAGTGCAGAGATAGTGGGATGGAAATTAAATAAACTTCATAATGCTCTTTGGTGTTGCTATTTCACAACTTCAAAATATTTATTTATGTAGCATATTTATATAGAATACTGTGTTCTTCATCTTTAGTTTAGCCAGTCCAAGGCAGCAGTTCTTATGGGATTTGAGGTCTGACACATTCTCATTTTGCTAACTGCATCTAGTGATTATAATAAATTGCTTAAAACATAACTGGGGCCTATAGTACAACTGGATACTTCAGAAAAGTCAACTAAAGCTTGTAAATAAGAGCTATGTATTAGACTTGTCTTTTTCTTCTTTTGAGATAGTATTAACATAATAATCTTTTTATTTTGACAAAGTTTTACAGTACATGTTCTTGAAGCCCTTGCAAGATAGTAATTTTTGTCCTGTGACATAGCAGCCACAGATAACTTGATCTGTGAACTCAATGGTCATTAGTTCCTTCTGTATTACTAAAGTAAATATACAGGTTTACTCTTCGCTTTGTTGCATCTGTTTTGAGGCTCATGCCAGAACAACGTAGAACACATAACTTTAGTTCACAGTGAAGGCTCCGTGAATTAAGAGAAAGCAAGAAGTTAAAATGTTAGTATGCCTTCTCTATGTCACAGCGCTTATTGTAGTACACAATCATATTATATTCCTCACTTAAGCCATGGTTGCAAGACTACGTCTGTGCTTCAGGTAACAGACTTCTGCAAGTCTTAGGATGGGATCACATAGCTTGCTTACTCTATGAAGGATCTTAAGCCTCTTTAGCTTGTGTGGCCCATATAATTATTTAGTAAATCATCGTGGTTTACCACAACTTTTCTTCAGATGCCTTAGTCTCAAATGAAGAGTAAGCAGGAGGGAATTTCGTTAGTTTTGACAACAGGAATAAAGCAAAATATGAAAGGAGGATTTGGAAATAGCAGTCTTAAATGTATCTTTTCCAAAAGTGTGTAGACCTCTGACAAAAATGTGGTTATAACAGCCAGAGACACCTTGATGCCACTTTAAACAAATTTTCATCAATGACTTCGCTGTAGAATAATCAGGTATAGTGATTGAATAGATCAATGAATTAAATTCTGAAATATTATTTTTCTAAGTGTAATGTCTCAGAAAAATCTTACAGTTTTGAACTCCCATTTCTGAAGAATCTTCAGAGAGATAAAATAATTTTATTTACTACTATTCCACGTATGCAGGAGAAATACTGCTTTTTGCTTTACTTCCTTTAAATTGACAACTTGGTGGATAAAGCTGAAGACAGGGAATGATACTGTTGTCTCAGCAGTGGTTTGAGCATTTTAATAATGTGCTAGTTTTAAGCTTGTATCCTAGACATCTGAATTTTCGGTTCAAAAAGGAGAATTTAATGAGTGTAGGTGTTTTTCATTGTGCTGAAGCTTACTGCAGTAAGTGCATAACGGATGGGTTTCTCTGTAGAGTTAGGTTTGAATCACATTCCCGAATTATAGACCCCAGAATATGAATGCTATGAAGCTGTGGTAACTTCAGAAAAGACAAATTACTTTCTAGTTATACTTCTAGTGTATTCCACACCACACTTAATAATTGTTAAAGTTTAAGCATTACTGTCTTTAACAATCAGGCTATCAATCAGTGGTTTAGAATCTGACTTTATGCTCCTGTTCTTTTTCATAAGAAAAATATTGCAGAAAAAAACTCTGCAGTAGCAAGAACCTCCTGTGTACTCACTTTAAAAAATTTGTTGTTAGCCTTCTAATCACTGTGTTTTTTCTAATGCTTAAAGTTAAAACAGAGAAATTATAAAATATGGCTTATGATAAGCAAAGTGATTTAAAATAATAGTATACATGACACTGTAGTGAGGAATAAACCCTAATATTCACTTATGCTAGAGCAGATATATCTAATATTAGGGTATTTTAGTGTGTATAGCTCTGATACGGACCACATATTTGATCTGTAATTGGGTAGGAGATCCTCTGTTATTTTTCATACTGGAAATACACCTTGAAATCTTAATGTGCCAAAAAGGCTGTCTAGGCAAAAACCTCTAGGTATGACTGTAAGACCGTATTGATCTAGCTCTCTAGCCTTGACTGCAATGGCATGTGTGTGAAGGCAGTGTTTTCTAACTTGTCACATGAAGGACACTTCTCAAGGCTTTTCAGTTTGCTCACAGGAAACAGGCTGTTTCAACAGTGAGTAAATCCTGGCAGACAACTGCTACTTTTTTGTATGTCCATTATGGGGGCAAAAAGAAGTAGGACTGAAGGTGTATTAGTTAATGCTAGGAGCTGATTCTCTTTAACAACATTGCTCAAAGGAAAGATCTCACAGTAGATCCAGCAACTGTGAAAGATGAAGCTTCATTGCCACCTTCTATATAGCAAGTGCCAAAACTGCTACTATTGTTGTATATTGGCCTTGGCTTGTTTTTTGTTGTAAGAGGAGTGTCACAAGATAGGAAAGCGAAACACTTAAGTACTCAACAGTGTGTTAGACCAATTTTTATGAGTAATTTGAATCTTTGCTCTCTGCAGAAATGGTTAAATACTGCTTCTCACAAAAAAGATTGAGAAAATTGTCTTGTTTAATTTCTCTCTAGCTTTCCTCTTCTTAACAACTAATGTTCTTGGTGTTCCTTTAGCCAGTTATCTCACTTGTGATGGATATCTGGAGAAAGCATATATTACATTGTTTCATTATAGAGAATGAACTGTTACCTAGAACTTCAGGAAGGATAGTGCGTTCTTACAGCTAATCTAAGCAGAACAAATTCTGGTGATGAAAATGCACAACTCTTCCAACCCCCCCATTTTCACTCAGGAAGGAATACACTTAAAATTTAATGTTGGCCTTTCTGGAACTCAAAAGAGATTTCCAAGGACACTTCAGAAGAGTGCATTTTTTTTTTTCTAGTTTTACATGAATGCCAGTTGTATTTGCTGGAAGTTTAGGAGAATGGCAAGTACAAAGTAAACCTCTTCAACATTGAGGTCTTCACTGCTTCTCACTAATTTTTGTCTTCATAACTACTTGAAGTTACTACATGTAGTATTATGCAGTATCCCTTTGGGGCAGGAACTACAGGCATTGCAAATGGTATTTTTTTAATCCTTATAAATACTTAATGTATTTGCTTATTTTTGCAGCTTCTGATTGGCTTTGAGTCTGGAACAGTGGTATTATGGGATCTGAAGTCAAAGAAGGCAGATTACAGATACACACATGATGAGGTAATGCAGATGAAAAATGTTACTATGAGGATGTCATTCTCTATTCTAATACAGATTATTTTTTCATTTTTTTTCCTACTTCTTTCACCAGTGGATCAATAAATAGGTCTCTTTGAAATTGCAAGTACTTGAAGTTCTTTCTAAAATAGCTGTAGAGTTTGACTAATAGAAACTTCAGATTGAATAAGTGTTCATTAAGGTGAAGTTCGTGAAGCAATGAATGGTGGCATGGATGGATTTCTTCACTGATTTCAGGGACTGGAGGATGAAACTAGGACATTTCTATAAACACCTTTTGTAGGATAAAATCAAGGTTTGAAATAAAACTAGAGAAGGTTTAAAAATGGTGTTGAATGGCATTTCTTTAAAACTTGCTTCTTGAGAGAATGTAGACGATGTTGAAAGACTGAGATCAAGAGAAATCTTTCAACATAATATTCAAGTTGATGTATTTTACTTAACATAAAGTTAGTCTTGATTACATTTCATTGATTGTAAAATGTCTGTGTCATTTCTCAGTACCAGTTAGGCCTGTTTCTTGTATCACCATGGGTCTTTTCCTTAGGTCTGCACTGAACTTATCACAAGGCAGGATTCGGGGTGGTTTTTTGTGGTGCTTCTGGCTCAGCACTCATGCTTGTGTGTGTTCTACCAGTGAAGAGTTTCTTTGAAGGGGGAGTCTTTGAAGTAGTCTAAACCTTAGATCATCAAGACTGTATTAGAACATCAGAGCTGAATGAGGTTTCTTTGTTCAGAAATGTCTGTATAAGCCTCAAAGCATGTTATGTGAAGAGCAATTTTCTACCTTCCAGTTTCATTGCATGCACCTAATTAATTCCCTCTGACGTTTTGTTTCATAAACTCACTTGTATCTCTGTCATCTTTTTCTAGTCTTACTCAAATTCTTCCTATACATCTTACTCTTCTTGCTCTAACTTTTTTAACTATTCTAATTTGTCTTTGTTTTATAAAAGAGAAACACAATAATATAATGTATTCAAGATGTGGGCATGCTGGGTTTATGGTGTGGAATAATTATGTTTGGTTTTGTTTTCTATCTCTCTTGGTCTTGATACTGGATTAGCCTTTAGTGCTACAAGCATTAAGCAGATACTTCCTTGGAACAACCTACCATAAAGCTAGTCTCATTCTTCAGTGTTAATTGTCAGCTCAAAATCCATTGTGTTTATGCATTGCTTCACATTTACATAATTGGACAATTAAAATTTTTAAGTCTTTTTGCAGTTCTTCACTGAAATTGTGATTTCTACCTTGAATATGCTTTGGTATTATCAGCAGATTTATCACCTTAATATGCTTGTTCTAATTTTCTGAGGTATTTATGAATAAACTGAGAGCACAAATCCCTGAGGGTCTCTACCAATTACCTTCATCCATGAACTAATCAATTACTGCCAGCCTGTCTTTATTCTAGGTTGCTTTACTTCCTGATGCCCTAACTGATTATTCATCTATTCAGGTTTCTCTGTAAGGAAACTAACCTTTGAGAGAAGTTCTTGAAAGACTTTGAAAATTGTGTAGACAGCTTAATTGGTGTTTCCATTAGCGACATCTTTGTTACGATTTTTGGAGGTTTCTTGTATATGATTTTCTTTAAAAGCATGTCGATTTCCTGGTGCATATTATACTCATTCATGTGTCAGTTAACTCTGTTTTTTAATAAAGTTTTGTTGCAGTTTCTAGAAACTTACCCACTATGCTGCTTATTCTCTTTTTCTTTGGATTTTGTGGCCGATTTGAAGTTGCAAACAGCAGTGAGTAAGCAGTTCAGCAGTTTCATCTTTGATTTCCTTTAGGATTTATAAGTGAATACATCTAGTTGTTCAGGGGTTTTTTTATTGCAGTAATGAAATACCTCAGGTCAGATCCTTTCATAAAGAAATGTACATTATCATATGTTGGGAATGGATAGGAATGTGAGAGTGAAAAATGAAGATCTATAGAGTGAACCTGGTAAGTTCACTGTTTTAATTAATTAGTGAGAATCAACATGTGTAAAGTTGCTTAAAAGAAGTATTGGCTGTTCAAGTCTTAAAAGTTGAAGTATACTTCTGTGAGTTCAAATTACCCTTTAAGAAAAACATCTTTTTGAAAAAAGGATTACTGTATGCAGTAAGAATTTGTTGGTTCTCTTCCATTTAACACTGTATGACAAGGAATTTCTTCTTCAATGGGCAAGTTATTTAGATCTAATCTTCTAAGGCAGAAAGCAGAATAGAGTAATGTTCCTTCTTGAATCTGGATTTGATACAGTTAGGCAGTCTCAAGTCCTTTTGGATTCTGGCCTGAATGACTTAGAAACCAAATGATTGATTTTGTCTAACGGAATTGAAAAATGTGTTCCTTGAAAGGTGCCATTGCTGAGAGTGCTATAATTGTTTCTGGACCAATGGCCTTGAGAAAAGATCCTATCAGATACAGAAAAGATAATGAATAGAAAGCTGAAGAAAGTGGATGAGTATATGTATGCTGCCTACATCTATCTGTTTAGTGTGAGTCAGATGAGGTGGGGCTTCTGTATCTTTCATTTTATTGTTCAGTGCCTGTCTTGTATTTAGCTGCAAAAATAGAGAATCTCCCTCAGTTTGTCAGTGAAAGGAATATTCAACTCTATAATGTTATCTTTCTAATCATGTTATCAGTGCTGACTAACTAGTGGCCTATGTAAATATATACTGTTCTTGCTGTTTCTCAGCTAGCACAGTTTCAAATAAGTGAATGTAAGTGTTAAGAAATACCAAAGAATTTTTTTTTAATAATAAAATTATATTGCCAAATAATAACGTTTCTAGTTTAAATGAGCAGTTTTCTTAACAGAAAAGAGAAAAGCATTCTCACTTGCTTAATGTTGAAAGAGGTTGCTGTGGAAATGTGGGTAACTTTGAGTCTTAGACAAGTAACACCATAACTGATACTGTGAAAAATGCTGTCTGGCATTTGTTGAAATTCTGATAATGAGGTAACCTGTTCATTCTAGTTGAATAACTTAGCAATTAAAATAGTTATACAGACTTTTCATTTTTGGCTATGTATAGTAAGCAAAGAATTTCGCTGGCAGTCTAGTACAGTTGTTTAAATTTTAAAGTAGAATAGAAAATCAGAAACCAGGGAAATTGACTGAATTGAGCAGAACACAGGGAGAGTACAGATAACTAAGGTTTTAGGCAAGAGAAGAGTAACAAGTAGACAGTTCTAGGCAAAAATAATTTAATGTGTGTCCTTTCTAAATTTGATTGCACCTTGATATTTTTTTTTCTTTCTCCACATTTGAGACTGATATTAGTTTCGTTATCTTAACATGTAATACTGACTTCAGAATTGAAAAACTTTGGTCAAGAAGGTACAACACAGTCTGATTTTTAAGATATATAATAGAAGTAACCAAAGTATTTTTACATCCTGGCTACAACATCTTTGTAAGACATAACTTTTAGAGTTATGTTTGCTCCTGCGTGGTTTTCTGGAATATCTTTTCTCGTTGACTGGATCACTAAGACATCTGCTGCCTATATAACGAAGGAGCCTAAAAAATTGGCCATATTCATTCCTTATTTTGCTCCTTCTTCTGTGACATACAATTACTAAAGTATTGTAATGTCTTGTCAAGATGTTTGACTAGCTTAGTCTAATCTGAGATTTTGCTTCCCAAAAAGGCAGTCTTACCCTGACTGCCTCAGCAATATCTTTTCATAATTAGCTGTGGCTGCATGACAATACAGACAGTCACAGTATAATTAACTCTTTCCCCTCTTCCTGTACACCCAAAAAAGTATCAGTTGGAAAGACCCATTGCACATGAAAACTTAAGGTTTGAGGAAAAGCTTCAGATTTCCTGACAGTGTAGTGGCTTCCTTGATCAAGAAAGTACATACAGACTGCTAGCAGTGGTGGAATAATGTCTTAACTCATGAGATCTCCTCTACTTCTTGTAAGTGTGGTGCAGAGCAGAGAAAACTCTCTGTCATTTTATTTCCTGCTAGGAAACTTTGTAAACTTGAGTATTTCTGTGCCCAGAATCTTTCTAGCTCGTGTTTCTTGTTGATTTCCTGATTCAATGGCTTTGACAGAGGCTTCTTTCATACAATGACTGTAAGGGCTGTATTCTGTCCATGAACGTGTTTCACCTTTCCTCTCACGGGGTAATGCATGTGACATTCTGCCCTGTAGCAGCAGCAGGATTTTAAACCTCAGCATTTATGTTCTTGGTTCTCTGCTTGTTCTTGATGAGGGCTCTTCTGAGTGTGGAGTTGACAACCAATAAGAAGCGAGCAACTTAGTCCAGTCTTGTCACACTTTAGATTTGGAACAGAGCTGTTCATCAGACACAGGAAATGCTGTCTGATCTCCCTTCTTTCTCCTTGACTGTACCATCTCAGACTGCTGAATTGTAGCAGGGGAGTTTCAGAGGTATCTTGTTTGGTGGATCAGGCTTGCTAGTTAATACTGAGGAAACATTCTCTGGCTCTAACCCTGCTGAAAACAAGTAATTCTTCTGGTACTAATTAACTGTGTAGTCCCATTAGTTTCATAAAATCCCATCACCAGTCATTACAAAGGCTACGACTGATTCTGTCATTCGAAGTTTCAGTGCTCTACCTGGAGCATGAGCATTTCTACTGGGGATTGCAGGATGGACATCAGCAGAGCTTGGTGCTACAGCACGGTTGCAGTTCTGCATGACAATGAGGCACAAGATGTAGCTGTCAGGACCCTGGAGCTGGATCCTCTCCATCAGTTTTTCCTGTAACAGTGCTGTGAAACACAATTGTCTGCTTTGTTTGAGTGATGGTGGCTGTTAATGGGTGACTAGGCTTCATGATCAGGCATCATGAACAGGATGGCCCAGGCATGTTGATACCGTGAAGACTGCTAGAAAGTTTGCTATTGGATTAGTAGCCTCCTCTCTCATCACTTTGTAGTTGATGTTGGTCTTAAAACATGTAACTTGAGGGGCTGTATAGTCTGCTGCCATCATTTGA